ATGCAAGCACCACAGCTAATATAGCGTTTGAGCAATACGTAATGCTTCCTCGTGCGAAGGATCGGGAGATTATCGGGACGCGACATGATGCGCCGCAAAGAGGATCGTTGAGCACCACGCCAGACAAATCTGTCGAGAACGCGAAACAATTCCGTTAGGATGGTCGCTCGACGAAGGAGCGACAGGTTTGACGCGCGATCCGTCATGTGGGCTCTGTGCGATGTTGGTGACAAATTCCGGTGGAGAAGCAGAGTCGACGCTACGACCGAAGAGACTCGATCATGTGAATCTCTCCTCTAGTGTAAATTTGTGAAAGCAAGAACGCTTCAAAATGCTTCAAAGTTACAAATTTTCACCTTTTACACTGGAGGAGAAATATATGACCGACTCTCTCTCTCTCTCTCTCTCTCTCTCTCTCTCTCTCTCTCTCTCTCTCTGGATCTCCATTTCTTAACACTAAAACTGCTAAGCAGTCCAAAATGACTGGTTCATAATTTTCTTATAAAAATTACTCAAATTCATATAACGACGCATTTTACACCATTTTAATAGACGTTGGATAAAACTAAAAATAATAAACATTTTTGAATAACGTATTTCTTTTTCAAGATCCTGTCACTTCGACCAGTCCGGTAGAAACAGATCGTTTCATCATTAATTGTCGGTGTAGTTTTAGTGTTAATATGCCTTTCTAATTCCAAGTTTGGATCTTCTCACATGAGCGACACGTGTAACATTGTTTCAGCTTGAGAATCAGAGAGGCATGTTTAGCGTTTTCCATGCATCCAAAATACGGCTAAAGTAAGCCAATTCTATGACCTTCAACGGACAATGTCGTTGTTTCCGTTGTGCATCTCTCTTGTCATATTTGCGCAACGGCGATACAACGACAACGACATTGTCGTGAAAAATCACAGAAGAGATCTACTGATCGTTCGGTCGCGACATTCCGATCGAATCTATCAACAATCAAGCCACCGATACACCGTTAACATTTCGCTCATTGACAAATTCTTAATCTCCGTCTCCTTCGTTGCGCTCGATTCTATTCCACAAGGTGTCCTTGGAAGCAAATCGGTAGGTCAACGCAGCAAGGCGATCGCGCCTCTCGCTTATGTTAATCTCTCATTTACATATCTGCTTAGGAAACCGACCAGAAAATTTATCTGCACATTACTCGACGATAAGAGGATCAATGTCAGTCGATTTGCAGTGACAATGAACTTGAATAAATAGAATTTAACTTTGTGCACTTGGTATCTTTTATAATTCAATACATCGTGTCAACATGCCCGTACGGGAAGTATCGATGGCAAAGGGTTAAAATATTGTGTTGCGTTATCCGTGATCGCGAATAAATAAATGAACGCTGATTCTAAAACCGAAACAGCCGTAGAAAGAACAGTCGATGAATTTTCTATTAAGAGAGGAATTATATGCGAAAGGTTATTTTCAAGGCTACTTTTACGAATTTTTTTAACAGAAACGGTAAGATCAATGGATTTGAAATTTTCACAGTGTATTCATTAATGTTGAAAGTATAAAATAAATTTTATTGAATCACAAGAATCCAATTTGTTATTATAGATAGATCCAATTTGTTATTATAGATAAAAATGCAGTCATCCGTTTGCGAGCTCTATGTTTGCTATCGACATAATTCCGGATCTCTCACTACTCTAAAATCAAAAAATGAGAAAGAATTTTAAAATATACAATTGCCATAGCCCGTATTAAAATGAAGGCAGTGAAGCAAAGTTTAGAAAAATAATGAGTGTACAAAAAAATGAATCGAAATCGAAAATGAAACTTTTTTCAACTTGTAATCATGTTTAAAAAAAATGAATAAAACAAAATATAACTGTGTTCGAGATAGGGGCGAAAACTATATGTCTACTGTACATTATGTAAACATTTCAAATTATTCGGTTCGGTAGTTTTTGCGTAACCGTGTCGACAGTTTAAGAAAATGATGTTTCCAGATAAACGCGTTTAAAGTTTTATATATACTTCCCACATAAATAGTAACAAATTTATTTTATACTTTGAACATTAATGAATACACTATGAAAATTTCAAATCCATTGATCCTACTGTTTCTGTTAAAAAAATTCATAAAAATAGTCTTGAAAACGGTCTGCTCCGCATGACATAATTTCCCTCTTAAGAAATAAAAAGCATCGTGGGAAATCTGTCACCGACGTGTGTCCCAGGACACCTTGCACATCGAGTCGCGTCCAATAGGAAAGATATACTGTTTCCTAACATCAATTCTCATAGATTTAAGCGTAATGAAACACCGTTGATTATGTCACACTTCTATTCCCATCGGTTTCGGGAGCCAAGACGAATAATCTCTCTCCTCCTTTCTCTCGACTCGTCGATCGACTTTTCCGACGAAGTGCTAACTGTTTTTAGACACACGCGGGAATCCCGAGATTCGCAGGAACAGAAGATCGTGGTCGAGAGACAGAGTTCTGCTTCGTTCAATCTCGACTTATAAACTAATCAACGGCGCCTTCGTCTCGGCTCCGAGTCCGCGCGTTTCTCTCCTTAAACTATTATCGACGAAGCATCTAGCAGCTAGTCATTTCGACCTTCTCTCTCTCTCTCTCTCTCTCCCTCATTCCTCACAAATATTCTCCACGCAATTAACGTGATTATTTACACAACATCTGACGTTATTTACATCGCCCGCTACAAATTCTTTATGCGTCTATGTAACAAAAGGGAGCAGCTTCTTTGTACGACCTATATATCCTCTCCAAATATCTCGATGCTTCGTCTAACAGTGACGCACGCTCGATTTATTCCTTCTTTGCAGATTAACGCGCGAAATGCTCTTCGTCATCGTCGGAAAACGCTCCTGAAATGCCGTCGCAAAAAGAGAAGTTTGAATAAAAGAAGAAAGAAAATTATTCTAAAAAATACCAAATGTACAAATCAGTGATGTTATTTCAAGCGTCAAGAACTGTAGATAAACATACTGTCATTTTCATTTAAAAAAATTATTAATGGAGAAAATTTTATGATAAGAATTATAATAAGAAATTCTTTTGGAATTTTATAACTGAAAAATATACCGACATTCTGTCTTCTTTTATTATCCTTCTGCTTTATATGCGCTATTTATATTTTCGGAACTCTAAAGGATATCTTTAAGTACGTACTATCTACAATTAAAAGAAACTTAAAAAAAGACCATTTATCGTAAATAAGAATGTTAAATGAGGAAATTTCTTATTTACAATCTTGTTGCTCTGTATCCGTCATGTTTGTTAAACTGAGAGAAAAATATCTAAAGGATAAAAAATATTTATTCGATGGATACTAGTATATTTTTTTACTTACACTGATAAAATTTTTATTCAAACGTGAAAATACAAATTTTCCTAAGAATCGTAGTTTTCCACGAAAGCAATTCAATTTATCCTCTTAGAATAAAAAAATTTAGATTTAAATAAACGTGTCATTATTATCCAGCGAATAAATATTATTTACTTAGATATTTCTTCTCTCAACACAGTAAGATAAAATCTCTGCTATAATATTCTCTCCGTATACTATACTATCGATATCGTCGTAACTATTACTCCTTGTGTTACAAACATTTGTCCGGTCGGCTCTCACCAATAAAACACCGTGCTTCGGCTCGTAGCGATTGTTTCCGCGAATAAATAATACTTGATCGTTCCGGGAAGGGCATCGAATCTCCTTCTCGTCTACGTCTACGACGGAGGAAGCTCGAAGTCGCGAGTCGGTGGAGATCGCGTACAGTAATGAGACGCACCTTCTACCACGCGCGAACTCGCCTCCTCCTGTTCCGATTATATGAGTGACACGCGCGAAGAAGCGGCCCTGAAAGATAACTCGGCGCGGACCCCGCAGAGCATTACGTATTACGCCTCTCTAGAACGTTTTGGCAATGAATAGAGTACTAACAGATCCTCTTACACGCTAATTATCTCTAAGCATTGCTGTGTATATATATATGTATATGTGTGTGTGTGTGTGTGTGTATTTTGCGTATATGTGTCACAGATAACGTTACGTCACTTCTTTTTATTAATAACAACGGGTAGACTCAGGTAACAGTTTCAACAAGTTTCTCATTCTCGGCGCATTGTTCCGCCAAACGAAATTCTCCGCTAATATACATCAATTTATACCTTTGCGTCACTTGCGCGGATGTTGGCGGGTGCCGAATTGTGGTGGGAGAAATACATTCAAAAAGTAGAAAGAACGGTAAGCTTATAACGTAAGATGATGTTTGCCAGTTGGCATGTCTCGTCGTATCAAAATGACGCAAAGTATGCAAGTGAAAAACTTTGAGTATATGTACATACACGACGCGAGTCGATTCCGGAATGACGACACGGGAACAATACAGGGGCCGATGATTGAGATTTCGTGTGTAACGGAAGGAGTCGTGTAACTGGAGCTGTACAAGAACTCGTGGAACTGAAGACCCAGGAAAATGCGCGGTTCGCGGAGTCGAGGACCCACATGATGCAGGAGCCGCGAGACCGAATGAGGAATTCTTTTAATCTAGTCTTTGTATCATCGTGTCGATCCATGTGGACGTGAACTGCGAAAGGAAAGGAATTTTATTTGAGTTGATTAGAACTCTATCGCTGTTATTAATGCGCAATTACTACAATAATGGTGTCCTATCATTGCGGTGACAGCTGCGACTGGCAGATTTCCGAGGACATTTTGAAGCGAAAATCCTAGTACGAAAATGTCGAGGCTGCTATAGTTTTCTCCCCGAAAAGTAAAATCGTTACATAACTATTGTTATTAATGCGAACGAAATAAAAAAAATGTTTCGGAGATAAGGAACAATAAAAAGATTCTGTATCCAAAAATACGCTAATATCATGGAAATGATTCCGGCTTCAGGATACTTTGATCACTATATAACGAACCGCGTTTGAGTATATCGTAAACTTCCTTGCATGTTTTTGTTAATAATCATTTTTGTTAATAATCATACTTACTTCTTAATCAATCACTGATGTTTAATCAAAAAATATCCTAATCAATCACTAATGTATCCCACTGATGATGACGATGCACCGATGTTGCGTACTTAATGTATGTATATATTCTTAATCAATCACTGATGTTTAATAAAAAAAATCCTAATCAATCACTAATGTATATCCCACTGATGACGATGCACCGATGTTGCGTACTTAACCCACCATTTCTTCCCAATGTTGCGAAGTTTAACTTCACAAAATGCAGTCAAAATGAACTTATTTCACAATTAGTCTAACACTTCGTGAAAAAAAATAATTACTGACGTCAGTAATTAATTATATAAACTTCGTGTTACGTATACGCAACATTGGGAAGAAATAGGTTAATGTATGTATACTACGTTATAAAAAAGAATTGAAGAGCAATCTTCCTAAACAACGAGTCAATAAGCACCTCTCTCTCACTCTCTCTCGCTTACTCGCTTGTTCGCATTCACTGCTGTCTGCTCTTCAGCGCTCTCGTAGCGCCCCTGATGTCGGGAAAGCAATGTGCACGTCTTGCCCCACTCCTTCGCGTCCGACGTTTCTTACTGAACTGAATCGAAATTTTCCGTAATTCAGACTTTATCTTAAAATATCTCCACTTATAGACAACGTACACAAAAAGCACGAGAACACTTTTCTTCCTATTTTTGAAGGCCGAATCGATTGGGATTAAAAAAACCTCGATCGGTTCAGCCATTGCTGAGATATGAAAATCTCACCTTGTTTCAACTCGCAGTTTCGCGTATACTTAAGCGACCTTTCTTCATTCTTCCCATCTAAAAACCATTACAATCCCGATATTCTCGAGTCAGGATTTTCGTTAGGAATCTGCCATTCACGAGTGTGACGATAATGATGAAACACTCTGTATATAGCTGTGTATTAATAACCGCGACACGGCTCTCTTTTCAATCGTTCCTTTCCGCGTGTGAAATTTGTCCTCAGAGGAGTACTTTGTTATTTAAAATATCCAACATCAGGATTCTCTCTCCGTGAAGTGAAAATACAAAAGAGCAAATAAAGGTAAGATGAACTAAGGAGGAATAAGAAGAAACCCATGACACCGTAAGTCTGAGCACCGGGATTCCACGTGACAGCCAAGATCCACATGGGAATCAAGGAGATCCACGCGAGAACAAGGATCCGCAAGACTGAGAGTGTCCATGAGATGTGTGTAGGAACGACGTCTACGGCATCAAGAAACCTACGGGACATGGACTAAGGACTTTCTACGCGGTCGGCACGCACACAAATCTGAAACTATGAACGCCACTGTATAATCATGATCCACGACGAAAGAGTCTAACGAGTCGACGACGAAACGAGGGTCTACGAAACGAAGAGGGAACTATTGCATACGGAACCAGGAGTCGTGATCGTGTCCTTTCATCGCGAGTTACCGCCGGGATTCGAAGAACGAGCGGCAACGCGCGAATCGTCAGAGTTTCTCAGACGCCGCCGAGTGTGCAGGTGTTGCCGACGAATGCGTAGCCGGTGGGCCCACGCTTGTGGATCGTTCCAACGGGAAGGGCGTCTTGTCTAATGGTGGCTGCGAGATTGCCCGCTTCGCCGCCCTAAAAGAGCTATCAATCAGTAACAATTAATAAACGAGTCGCGAATTTCTTCCTCGAGATAACCGACGACCACGGTAACCCTTTTCATTGACTGGAAATCCCAGTCCGACTTCAATATCTCCATCGATCAGACAGATGGATTGGTTTTTACAGACATCGGAGATAAAAAAATCTAATTTATGTGTAAAGCATATAATTTCGAAATATCGTGTCTATTTATTATATCATTGTGAAATTATGTGAAAGTTCAAGGGCAAGATTTTTCAGACACGTTTTCGCAGAGATCATAAACTTCATATTTTCATCCTTCAGAGGATTTCAGCGTGATCGGAAATGGGTTACGCGTCCTCGGAGTCATCTCGATGACACATCTCGACTAACTCGACGTATCGTCATCATCGAGTCAGCTGACGATCGACAACACGCAAAATGCTTTTCTTGTGAGGGAACATGACATATATTGCATTCTTCCAACTATCCGCACGTCTAATCAAGGTCTATCGATTGTGCGAAACAGAAACAAACTGTACACCGATCCTGAAAAATCGAAGGAAATCTTCATAATTAATCATAAAATCTTTATAATTATAAGCTTCTCATTAGAAAGAAATTTTTATCGCGAAGGCGAAGTACATAATAAACGCGAACAATTTAGAAAGCATCGAGTGAAAATTACGAAATTCATACATTACGAAAGCAACACGACTCGCCAAGCGGTTTTCTTTTCCAGATCGTCATCTAATTCGCTTCTGTTGTGCAACGTGTGCAACAAGCGGCAGTGATGTCTTTCTTATTCATTTGTCACATTCGGAAATGAAAGCGCAAGTAATATGCATTCGTTCGTCCTCTATCACACTCAGGCTGAAAACAATAATTTCACTTGCGTTTGTCAATGCACATTATTCACTTCTGTTGTGGTTGTGGTTGTTGTTGTTGCTGTCGTTGTGGCAGTTATGCTGCTATAACATATTTTCTCTTTGCACCCTATACATAGATAATATCAACAGATGTCTACAGAATGCGGCGGAGGATATGTAAAGCAACGAACGCTCGTCGAATTTCGAGAAGGTGAGGAACGTTTCTTTCTTCACGGAACAGTTTTTCATTAGACTCACAGCGCTTCAATTTTTATCAGTGCATGCTTCCAGGATCAACGATCCATTTCGACGAGAATCAAATTCCGACGAGATAATAAAAAAATACATAGGATATCTAAAAACTCGCTAGATCTCAACTCTTGATATATCTTGTGAAAAAGAGAAAAACGAACATCGAGCTTCGATGCTTCGAGCTTAAGTTCTCAATCTCCAAATTCGACGAAGAAGTCACCTTGCTTTTTCCTGCCATACATATCTCATCGCGCATCCTGCGTGGAATAGTGTGCTTCGCATTGAGGTACAATTCACTTGAACGAACGGAGTGGATACAGATCGCCATTGAAAGCGGATGAATGAGAACAGCACAGCGGGGAAAGCGGCGTGTTTGAGACATCGTGTTGCTGAAAAGCGTGACGCAAAACATCTCCATGAAGCGTTAATGAATAATGAGTTGGATGTAGAAGACGGAAGACGCCTGTCCGCCCTGCAAATGACAGCGAGACTATTGTTAAGAGATGTCACATGTGTAAAAGAATTCGTTGATCCTCTCGGATGACGTGGGATTGCGGTACTAAGCGTTCAACTAAGCGGGACGATTCCTCGAGCTATCGAGGCCTTCTCGTTATTCGGCAATATATAAACAATGTGTAGTTCTGGCGGGCGCTCTTTCGTCGGCCGTAGAAGGACGTACAGTCCCGAGGAAGGATTATTTATAATTATACAACATCGCATATAATTCTATATAAATTATGTGTAATTATATATGTGTGAATTCTGCACCCAAAAAAAAGTATTCTATTTGTAAAATGATTTTTCCCATAATCTCATATTCTAAGCGAAGCCTTTTCAGAACAAGGATTCCTCTTTCGATCAAGCGATTAAAGTGAACCATTCATCCAAAATTTATTAGATATTATTCTAACTGTTTTCCTCTTATTTCAAGAGGATTTCCTCTTATATCAATTCATTTTCCTCTTATATAAAGAGGAATATATTGATTTGAATGTCGGCTTCTTTCGTTCAGTCATGTTCTACCTCCAAACATGAACGAAAAAATAATAACTATATGCTCATAGCTCAAAATATTTGGAATGCTTTTTAAGAAAGGTATGTGTGTTGCTGTGAACATATAATGAAGATAATTTACTCATATCTAGTCAAATATAGCTTATAATCTATTGCAAGAAGTTGAATAATATATTTTTTCTTTTAACTATGTTTCATACAATTGGTTATGATAAACATCTTTGTAGCTATAAAGTCCATAACAAAACTTCTGAATTGGAAATTTATTTGTTATGATGATCTTATTTCATTCGTGCCTATTTATTGTAGAACTGGAGCCAGAAGTACATCTATATACGTATTACTTTTCGCTATACATTATAATAATTTTTTCAAATTAACTAGTATAACCAGTAAGAATAAAGTACAGTAAGAATAAATAATAATCCTCTTAAAAAGAGATTAAATAATCTGTGTACAAGAGGAAATTTATATTAAAATCAATAAAATTTGCATTATACATATAACATATAATCCCTCTAATAAGAATAATGTGTTTGTAATATTTTCCTCTTAATCTTAAAGGAATCCTCTTGAGGCCATATATAAGAATGAAATCCTCTAAAATTTAAATGATTTCGCTTGTTCTGAAATTACTTTTTTCTGGATGTATCTCTACATAGGGCCACACACCCGCGAATAATCACGTGTCATTGTACATGGTTGTATGAACAATATTCATACATAATTATACATTGAGCTTTATTGATTATTTTCCTCGGGTTTGTCTCTCGCGGACACGACGAATCTGAAATTCGCCGCCAGTGCTACGAAGAGAACCACAAGTAGACAAGCGAGAAAGGTGGAACGATAGATCTTTTCTAGAGACAGCAAAACACCTATAGAACTTGACATTTCGATGTGAAGGGGGGAATGGAGGGTGGAGTTCTAATCGGTCAACCGATCGATCGTCCGTCTTTCTGTCCGTCCGATAGACCGATCGACCTCTACAAGCGCGTTACGATGTGGAAAATGTCTTATTGAACTGGCTTGAATCTCTCTTACATTTCGGTATCATAATGACGACGGCTCTCGTCACGCCCGCTTTCGTTTTCTCAATGAGCGTTCAAACGCTATCGTTTCGTTTCATTCCGTGGTTCCGTCACCTATGAATGGATGGAATGCCGAGTGAACGAACCAGAACCGCTCAGAGCGACGAGATTGTAATAGCACACGCACGTGTAGTAGTAGTAGTAGTAGTAGTAGTAGTAGTAGTAATAATGATTATAGCGTTGCGCAGCTGCAATGTGATGCATGATGATCGAATGATGAAAAGGCGTCGCGGCGTGATCCTCTAACAGAGATCGCACCCACTTGCGCGCATTCACACGTAACGATTATAATAACGATAATGATAATAATAATCGTGCATGTGTGTGACGTCGCATCGTTCGCTATCGCTGTCGCATCGTCATTCGTCTTCCTTAGCGCAAAGCAACGACTCCAGCCCGATCTACCAGCGGACGAAAAGTCACTCGTTGTTGCAGTCGTTGTTCGATCATTCGAGCCGACGCGGTGAAAAGTGAATTTCACGTGGAAAATCTGCGTCCGATTGGCGCGCACAATGCTCGCAACGCGTGCTCGGCGGAAAAAGTAATTACTACGGGTGAATCGGGATTTCATCGAACCGAAATTAAATTTCACAAAATTCATGAAATTTGAGAAAAAAAAATTATTTCAGCGAGAGAGACCGCGTTTGAAGGGAATTTCATTCGGACAAGTTTCGAACTGTACATCGAACCACGTAGCAAAACTCCTTTCGACCGGAAGGACATTGATTAGGCATGCAACATTTACGAACGAAAATATCCTCGAATCGCGATGTGCAAATTTGGAATGTACGTTCTGCGTTTCGATTAATAAATCGCGTGGATCACGTTCGCCGCGAGGAAACCGGTAGATGCGAGCGATCGGCAGTGGATCTAGCGTTTTGTAACACAAAACACTCATCTAACAAGTTTGTCTCAAGCGGAACGTAAATGGAGAAAAGAAAGGGAGAGAGATATAGAGGTAAAGAGACGGCGGTTTACCTTCGTCGCTAAAGTGAGACCGGTTCGTTTCGGGGAGGATAACGAAAACGACTCTATCGCCCGGCGTATCTAGACGGTCATAGAGCGGATTAACCACAAATCCTGGACATTAGGTACTCTAGCCGATGGACAAACTATAAGTTTCGAGCGTAGGGTGGCGACAACAGCTTTTTTCGCCGAGTAAAAGATAGAGACAGAGTGATATTTAACTACGCTGAGACAACGCGACATATCCTCATAGCAGGTACCTGCAATCAAGAGACTCGTCAGCGACATGGGTCGGATGGGTGCCCTTTTACTGCTTAGACACAGCATGGAACACGGTCGATACAGCGTGTCTTAAAGGTGGAAAGATTCCATCGAACGAAACGATTGAAACATCGATTCAAAGGCTCGTCAGATTTGTGCGACTAATTACGACGATCGCGTCGCGCGTTTTTAACAGTTTTTAATTTATTTCACAGTGACGGTATCAAGAATATCGTTACAAACCTGAAATCTTTCTTTCACGTACGTTAATTGCAGTGACTGAGATTCCAAAGCGCCATAAAACGCGCGTTATCTCATGAAAAATAATTCACAGATGCTGACAACACTCTGATGTAAATCTTGATGTCTGTATAGAGAATTCACTTTTGTGAATAACTGTTAACTTTTATAATTATTGCACGCGCATTTCGCGTCTTCGCGTATAAGAAGAGAATATAGCGAGCCGAATTTTACACAATCTTTCTACCGATAAAATCACGCTGCGACATACGCGGGAGATTTCGGAAGAAGCAGAGAGCGTAGGCGCCAACTTTTTACATCGATAAGCAGGTTCAGCTGCTTTCAGCTTGCCCGGGGCAAACGACTTACTGAACTTGTTTAGTCGCGCAAATCTAATTGTTACAAAACATGAATGTCTACGTGGAACGTAGAATTTTGTGCAATTCGATTACAAATTGATTGAACGCGACAGCTATTGCTAACACAAATAACGAATATTGCTTCACGTGGGATGTTTCATGTGATATTCCGGTCTAATTTATATAAATTGCACATATTATGCTAATAATTAACCGTTCAAACTTTGAAATTATTTAGCGCAAAATCGACGATGAAGGATGCACGAAGCATTTTCAATAAAGAGCACCGTCATAATTGATGCTGACGCAATATTCAATGAAACGCCTCTTAATTTTGCATCTCTGTCGGCCTGCCAATCAGACCGCCGCCACGCAGTCGGCGCCTACGCCGCAGAGTAAATAGTAGACGGTTGTAGATAATTACCAATGTGAGTAAGTAAATTGTACGTAGATTATAGGCGTGTGTTAGATGTGAGTAAGGTAGATTTTCCGCTTTAAGTAGACGCTGTTGCGCGCCGGGGAGTTCACCGCTGTGTCGTTACTGGAACATAGCCGGTGCTCGTTTTCACACACACAGAGGACACACACACTTGCCACGGCGAGCTGTGGCTATTCCCGCGCGCGAACGCCACACAGGGTGTCCTTACTCAAGCCTTTCTTGCCTGACCGTAAGAAAAGCACAGCGAGAGCCATTTGCCGCAACGGCGGTGCGCTATTGGATATCAGAATTAGGCGATTGTTGTATTTCACTTGTCTTCGTCGCGTGGCGGGGGGATTTTTTTAATTAATTCTAAACGCACATCCGGTAACCGGAGCGATGTTAGCGTCAAACTTCCGCAAGACTCATCGAACATCTCTCCGGATTTGCGACTAACGATCGTTACGCTAAACGACCCAGTGAGCGTAACCATCGTTGACGCTTGATGAAAGCCAGAGGAAACTGAACAATTATATCGGAATGTTTGGAAGTTTTCTTAAGAAGAGGGTTAGCGTCGTCAGGCAACAAAGGATTAAGACGATAAACCTGCTCTCACGTTGACTGCAACTTTTTCCTTGGTAGAAGCTTCGAGGATCAATCGCACCAATATCGGCTAACGCGCGATTAATTTTAACCAGTAAAACTGCCACATGCGGAAAGGGCGAAATTCGTCGCGAAAAATCCACTGATCTTGCGATTATCATCGGATCGGTCCGATAGTATTCCTCCGGAGACCTAACCACGGTGTCACTTGCGAATTGAATTCTCAGCCGGATGGACTTCTTCTTCGACATTTGCATGATCTCCAAAAATATCGTGAACGGAAGAGGAAGCGGCGAAATCGCGTGAAAGAATAACCATGGATGCAAGAAACGGTAAGCGTGATTGAGTAACCCGATCTTATATCGCGGCTGCGCGGTGCAACTGACCTCGCGGCACAGTGAAAATGCACGATTACGATAGCTTCCGGTGTCGCGAGCGACAACAAAGATCCGACAACAATAATATTCGACTGTATTCGGCGAAGCGTGGAGGGTCGCTCATGGCGATCGACTGCCGCGGCATATTGCCGCGTCGTGGACTCACCTTCGTCGGCGCAGCGAAGCGTTCTGTCCGGGCAGGCCGAATTGACCCCTGGGGATCACCATGCGCGCGTTACCCTGAGCGGGCCGCGAACCGCCGTGCGCCTGCAGCGTGCTCAAATGAGCGGCATAGCCGTCATATAATATTGTCGCCAAGACCTGGTGCCTTTTCGACACCTTGCCGATGATGAAGATCTGGCTCGGCTTCAAGTTTATCGCTGTGTACACACTGATGTCTTTCTCGCTGCCGTACGCCTGATGGATTATCATGCCGTGCTCCTGAAAGACGTCCGATCGACCGTAAGTCGGTGTGACATGATTCTGTCACTGTCTGTGTATACGTATCGCGGCTATGTGTGCAAATATACAAGATGCTTTAAAAAGAATAGACTGGCTACATGTAGTTATATTCTTCTCATCGAGACGAACGAACAAGTTCTCATAAACATAATGCTTAAAACGCTTAGTTAAAAAGTTGATGTCGTCTATATGAACCTTTTTGTTTGTTCTGTTGAGAAGAATATAGCTACATACAGCCAACCTATCCTTTCTGAAACACCTTGTACCGCAAGAACCGTCGCAATTCGCGATGTTAGACGACGTACCTTCACGAGCTTATTCAGGTACGCGGCTTTATGAGCGAGCGGATCTCTGGACAGGCCGTCGGCGAATGAGACGAGACCGTGAGGGAAGTTATGTTGCGACAGCCAGGAAACCACCGTCTGCTGTTGCATGTCGGGCCTCGCGGTAATGTAGATAATGAGGTAACCCAGTTCTTGCCAATGCCTATGAGCATCGATGGACCTTGTCAATATGACGATGATATATGATAGTTCGCTGATATTTTTATAACGAAAAAAAAAGAAAAGGACAGATCTAGAATTTGTGGAAGAATGTTTCTCTACGGTTGATTCTACACTTGCAAATGCAATGAGGTGACAATAAAATGAATAATCATGCGATTTCTTCATCCGTCAAATACGATAGCTAAAGAGTTGGATACAACTCTTCAACAGAAGTCAACAGAATCGTCTTCAGGATACGTCACCTTACAACATCAACGGCACCGGCCCAAACTTTCGGATCCTTGCCGCTCACCGACCTGCTGGCGGCGAAAGAACCGTCTATACTGAAAACCACGCACTCGGTTCTCGGGGGTATCACCGCCATGAAAAAATCTACAGATGTATGATCTCCCCTGCGAACGCGAACGAGCAAAGTTGAATTTGAATTCAAAATTCCCCAATTAATCGATGTGTTAATTTTCGCCTTAGTCACGATTCGTATTGACAATGTTTCTTTTTTTTACTGAAAATTCCGAGGATGTGAAGGAGATACGTTACCTTACAACCATCTTCACCGGGTAAAGCCCGTAACCTAATGCTTTGTCGTCCGGTATCTTGTAAATTATTCTACCGTTTTTGTCGGTCACCTCGGTGGAAAGGTGCATCCACTCGCCTGCTGGTGCATCTCGCATAATATGGATATCCACTTTCTCACCTGCGACAAAGAAGCGACACACGTTAAGTACGTGTCGGTCTGGTTGTTATATTTTCAGTCACAGCACTACATATCCACTTACAATGTAATTAACAAATGAGACCAAATATAAATCAAAACCAGTTCATAAAATTACTACATAAGTCAAACCTTAGACTTTTTTAAATGAGAAAGAAGAAGTAAGGATTGTGACTGGAGAAATAACTCACTTTCACTCATCCATACGCTTACCTGTTAAAGTTATCATATCAAGAGGACTGTACATGAACCTAGCGATTAGTACTTGTGGTGCGCCTTCCTTCACAATGACGTCATTCGCTCTGTGATTGGCAGCAACATTCTGTGAAAAGTTCAATGTGTCAATTAGAAACTCAAAGTTATCAGCGAGGGAAGGGAAGCCCAAAGTGACAAATGACAGATCCTTTCTTCGTAATCTCATTAATATGCTTGATACTCGATAAAGAAATACTTACCTTAAGTTTAACGGAGGTACGTTTTTTATTCCATTTCTCTCTGGGTTGACCTGGACGGAAGCAAGTGAGATCTTTGTCCTCATTGCCGAGCAATTGCAAATCGAATCTGCCCAATTGTCTCAGGATAAACGCGATCACGTCCGAAGATTCCCAATAACTAGCGTGGAAGAGGTGCGGCAAGGCGTTTGTAGGAAAATTAGCGAGACCCTCTGGACAATAAAGCGCGTAATCCAGTCTCTTGGTGCCCCACCACTTTTGCGTCACTGAACAAACATGAGAAGCGTGTCAGACGGAGAAAAACATTTATTCGAAAAGAAAAGATATCTAGTCTATCGCAAACTTTGTACGTTACTGTTACTCTATATATAACTATTAATTAAATAAGCATTTTATCTGATAATTAAATAATTATTCTACTCGACCAAATGCCTAAGATATTATACTCTCAATTGACAAATGTTGTACAAAATGCGTAAAGAATCACCAAGATTTAGATTTAAAATCATTTAAGATTATTAGTTTCTGAGTCGTCAGCGATTGTGAATGCGGCGAATTTTCACAAGTGGTCACGAAATTAGACATGAATGCGCGGTAAATAATTTCTACTTACGGGCGGACACCGCCTGTAAAGGAACACTGTCGATAATGCCCGACATTGTACTCTGAAGCGAAATATCAGATAGTCTTCTTAAATGCGACAGTTGAACATTGGGAACATTTAGTCCGTCAGCGAACAGCTGCGGGTTAGTCTGGATGGTCTCCACTGAAAATCAAATGTACAATCTACGTTTATATGTGTTATACATTACAGCTTATACGAGAGCGTCTACGAGTAAACGAAGAAGCTATCGTTATATGCGACTTGCAATCACTTGAAACTTACGCAAGTGATAAGGCTGGCCATTGCCGAGCGGATACTTTTGATATCGGGCAATATTGATCGGTGGAATTAGCGAGAATCTCGCCGAGATCAAAGGCTCCAATCTCGCGGCTACGGGATCCGTGGGATGGAATAAATTGTACACTTGATTGACCAACGGCCGAGGTATAAAGCTGTTTTTGTCGCCGGATGCGGCGATCTTCCTGTAAGCCAGGACCAAAGCGAGCGGACTGCCAAACGTGAAGAAATCACCCACCTCGAAGTCCAGCTTGTTGTCACTGCAAATTGCAACGATTAGTCGAGTTAATTTAAATAAATGTAATTTACACAACTTACTGAGGGTTGATCTCGTAGCAATGTATATAAATCGCTTCGCACGATTAATTCATATTTTTTAATTCATATTTTTCAACCCAAATTTTTATTAAATTTTTTATTCAGCTTTTCCATTAAGTTTTCTTTTTCTTGAAATAAGTTTGATCATATAGCTCACACTCTTTCTCTCTGAGATATTCGATCTGTACTTTGATAATGCGAATAAACATAAACATAATCCCTTACCTCGTGCCGGAAGATCTTCTCCTGGGAGAGGGCGCGGAGAGATGCTTGCCGTCTTCAGCGTTTCCACCGTTTTCATTATTCTGATTGCTGGTCTCCAATATACTGTTCTCGCTGCTTTGCCGCGAATGCTGCATCGCTCTGCACAATGCGTCATAGGTCAAGATCGAACCAACTGAGTCGCCCACGAAGCAAATTTGCCCGGAGAAACCTTTGCCCTCGTCGCTTTTGATGAAGTCGTGGTACACTTGATTAGCGCCAATCACAACGCGCGACACCGCATCTTGATAATCCGAGCTCGAGCTCGCCAGCAGCGGTATAGCGCCGATCGGAATGGTGTCGTGCGTGACTGGAGGAGCGTCCATGCAGGAGGGCGACACGTCGAAGCTGTACGGACTCAGACTGTGCCATAAAATTATTAAATTGTATTATGTAAGTTTACAGATCAAACATACAGATCACTCTGTTCTCTACCATTTTAAATTATAATAAAATTTGATAAAATAATAATAAAAAAATTCATTTTGATTTTTCGTTATTTCATTATAATTTTCACTGAGAAGGGTGCACGAGACGTTTAAATTAAAAGCAAATTTTCTTTTTATATGTCAAACTTCGCTGGAACAATAACGCCTAGCTCTTTCACTTATCTCCACATTTATTTACTCAATTATATTACAACTTGAGACAGATCTATTTATTTCGTATAATTTTATATAATGAATATTCTTGTTATATCTCAATCATATATAATCATAGTTGAATTGTCAACACGTTGATTATCGCATGGATTTTTGTGGATTATACGGAAGCGTGACTGATGATGGAATAAGAGAAAGAGAAGGTAAATCAATGTAATTTGAGAGACGCATGTATCTTTTATCTCATTTACTTGGCTATCGGTTGTAAAACTCACTCGTCAAATGCAGTTAATTTAATTGCAATTAATTTTACACGCAATTTAATGAAATGTGCGGTAATATTATAGCACACTGATCATTGCGATATTCAACGTGTTAATTGAAAGATCCAAAAGTTACGGTGGAAAAGCTTCGTAAAGCTTCAATGAAATAATTAATCGTAATAAGATCGAACAAAGTTCTTTTTGAAATTTCATATTGCAACGGTAAAATCATTAATTACAGCGGAATTAATTAAAATCATTCTGAAATATTAGATTGCCGAGCCAATACGGTCCGTGTTTCGCCATAATAAATAGCATACGAGAGACCGCAAAGAAGTAGAATGTCGTTACCTTGACAAGATTCCAAGCCCCTCGGTGCAGACAGAAGGGCAGGCGACGAATTTAATGGAGACATGCCCGACCATACTGGGATAATGCTGTCTCATGACGGACTCGAAAGCTCCGCGGAATGTCATGATGTCCGATTTCTTCGCCGTTAAATCGACGTTCGCGTCTGAAACACAAAATGCGCTCAGATTCCAGACTGATACGTGTCTAATAATCGCCTCAACGATTAATTATTTCTACTTATGATGTGGCCGACCATCGACATAATTTCGCTAGCGATTCTACATCGGCATTACTATATCGTACTATTGCGGATGTCGACATTATGGAAAAATAACAAGTAGCTTTAATAGTGTACTATATTCGCTAATATAACGTATACACTTTTCAAAGGAAATTACAAGGGACAGCTTCACGCAACAAAGAGTCTTAATTAAATTTGGCATCGTTGCAGAGTTCCCTCCCCTCCTCTCGTTAGATCGGCCGTCTACCCGCCCGTGATCGCTGAAATCCCCCCTCATATCAATCGCCAATATCCCCTTTTGATGAATCTTTGATTGCTCCGAGGTACTTGTATTGAATTCCATCCTTTTCATTTTTAATGAAAGGATTTACGGGCAAACCTCCGGCACATCGCATCGACAGGTTCTCCTCTGTCATCCGTCATTGCAAACGTCACACTTGAGGACTTGGAATCAAGCGCGATCGACAGAGACTTTCCCGTGATTCTTCCTTTTTATATTAAACAGGTCAATGATCGATAACGAAAAAAACGCACTGATATGATGGAAATTTATTAAAGAGAGAAAAATATTATTTTGCCGCTAAAAAAACGATTACTCAGTTTACTTTCGTTTCTTTAACTAATGATTGTTTTCGACAGAAAATAATTTTTTGATAGCAATCTTCAAATTTACTTATTTATTACAAATTTGAGGAAAAAGCTCATTTTTATGTACTTTAAAGAAGAATTTATTCTCTTTTCAAGAACATTATAAAATTTATATCCTACATAAATTTCAATTTTATATATTCTTGAAATACTAAATTTACTATATAAGTAAACTTGTGAAACACTTGAAGGGAATAACATTCACTTGAATTCACTTGAGTGTATATTTTTCTATGTACGTCATTGTGGAGACGGAAAGGATGTAATCCAATGTAAATCACGGAACGATCCAGATTCACCAGAGTTAATCGAATTTAAATGATCGACTAAAGCGAGAGGAAGCTTGATCAAACGCACGATCAAACGCCCGGATGGATGGCCGATTACTTTAGATGCAAATGATATTTTCGTTCCGGCGTGAGAAGAGATACTCGTTACTCACCCAAAACACTGCCAGCGTGCACCACGATAATTAGCACGGTGATCTTGCATGGCTGATGCGTTGGAGAGTGTTGAGGCGATGCTGGACATGATACGTCGATACTGGTCGACGAGCAGATCTGCAGTCTCTTGCTGTTTCGTTCGCTGGCGACGCGCTGCAGATACGAAGGCGAAAATATCGTGTCTGCTGGAAATAGAAAAGACAAGCATTTTCTCTTTCTCTCGTGACGGATTTCGGCATTGGACGAACGAGGAAGGATCGCTCGAATTTCGCGCATCGGTGCCGCACCGTGCATTAGGTACATCTTTCCTCGTTTTGCTTCGAATTTTTTTCCGATACATTCGATACCCTCTGTTGTATGTGTAGAACGTTGTATATGTGTGTGTGTGTGTGTGTGTGAGTGAAAAGAGGGCTTGCACGAAATTAATAATAATTTCATGTGATGTAATTCGAGAGGATCATTTTGAAGAAATGATGCTGTGAAATTGTCTCGTGAAATAAAATCTCCCGGAATTACCCTGCGAGGGGATGGAAGAAGAAAATTATATTCCTTCAGCAGGTACACACTAACCTTGCTCATTCGCCGCAGGCGGTGTACGTACAGTCGTGTCTTCCCCTTCTGCTAGAAGATCCAAAGAACTCCATTTAGCTAATGAAGGGCTATCTTCAAAGTCCTCTGTATAATCAGAAACGTTAACACTGCTTATGCAATGTGTCTCTTCGAATAATCGCGGATATCGCTTCGAAACAGGACTCGTAACAATAAACGAGATGAAGATCGATAAGATGCTCAATCTACATAACGTAGCACTTCCAAAGTAACCGTCATGAAATGACGATCTAAAGACAGAAGAAACAACGATCACGCCACGGTCATTCTAGCGGTATAAGTAATCCACGGCAGAAACGACAGCTCAGTTGCGATTGGATCGTTCGAGAATTCTAGATTATATAGAAGTCATGATGTTTGTACTCCAGCTAATATCTATATGGACTATCTCTATCTATACACGTAAAAATTCTACCTAACATCCGCGAGACGAGCCGATTCGTTAGCTGCGTCAACTGTCTTGCTCGCTATGTAGTCATGCTGCCGCATGCCTCGAGTCTCTCGCTCTCGATTCTCATGCTTATTGTCTATAATCTTATTCGCACATCACGTTGCAGAAAAATGCAAATTTTATGTGCACGTGTATATATATATATATATATGTGTGTACGTCAAACTATAATATAGTACGCGGTACTTAAAGGCCATTCTTTAATCTTGCGGATGCTATGTATCTGCGATACATAGATTACAGAGGCGATGAATGTGTGGTTCTTTTCCTCCCTCACTCACACATACACAGACATGCTCTCTTTCTCACTCTTTCTTTCTTTCTTCCTCTCACACACTCGCAACTTATCTCTCTTACTACTTAATCGCTCTACGTGTCCTACCTTTGCGTATAACAGGTATAATGAACCCAGCTGCAGTATGGGATGCGACATAGAAAACAAAGAGGATACACATAAAAACACAGCCACATGCTGTCCTTGCTACTTCGCTTCTATCTATGCATCGTTTTTTATGCATCTAAGTAAGACACACTCCTTTCGCACAGCTCACGGGACGTCTCGATTCTACGCATCGAGCAACTCTCTAACGCCGACGCTGATGTTGAAACTTCGCGGCATCCGAGCGAAGTATACCGTATTCGCAATTCCCCGATAGGCAAAATATTGCCGATACGTCGGCAGATTGGCAACAGATCAGGTTCGGTCAGAATGCCGTAGCGGATGCACAGCCATCTCTGTGTCCGCATTAGGCATCGTCTTCAGTCGACAGAGCCTGCTGACATGACTTAACAGCAGATTAGCGGCGGAAAGAGAGCAGGGTCTGCGATATGTTCCGCTTAGATACATTTAAACTGCTACGGGAACGACAGATCCCGCTCGGCTTTCGCCGTCAATCTGTCATTACACTTCTGCTGCTAGCAAGCTGCCGACAAGATTTACAGCAGACACCGCGCGAAGTCTGCATTCACAGGTCTGGCCATTCAGGAACCTCTCACGATCGACGTATCTCTGCTCTCGGGCCGGTCCAATTCGAGTTGTGCTCGACTTTCTACAAATTTGCCGGAACGCGTTGTACCACAAAGCAGTGTGTCGCCGCGATCGTTATCTATTCATTCACTTATGGCGTAATTGTGTTAATGTCAACGTCACCTCTAGATCCTCTAGATGCTCACGGGCATGCTATACGTGCGCGTCTGACATGGCAGTCTTACCCTGACAGTCGAAGAACTCGTCGTCGCTGCCGGACTCGGACTCCCGGACGATGCTCTCCATTCTCCAGTTCGCGATCTGGATGTCGAAACTTTTGTTGGAACTCGGTGAGTGCATGGCCGCGTTGCTCTTCCGCCATTTCTTCTTGCCATCCGCCTTCTCGTCGACGGCCGCGGCTCTGCAAAGCAGTTCGATTTTAATCCTAATCAACCTAACCAACTTACAGCATCACATATTATATGATAATAATTGAAAATTGAAAATGTCCTATTTCTATTCATAAGAAGCGGCGGCGATCATAGCGTTTCAAGAATTTGTTTCTGAAAGGACTTGGCTCGGTCTCTCCTTTCTTCAGAAACAGTCACGGATATAGGATATGTAGATGCAGTAAATCGCGCAACCGGTGAATCCGGTTTTTCTTTACATTCAGATCTATCTGTCTAGACACTCACACGACCTGCTTAGAAAATGTGTTCTACATTTCTTTCTTTATTTCCTCACAAGGTATCACGTTTCCGCCGATCGCTTTCCGCGATTTGCCAGATACATATCCTTGAATACTTTAACGCATCACCGTTTAAAAAATAACAACCATCCAAAAGAGTCGCTCGAGCGAGCTCTTCTCAATGCTTTTCCGCGTAAAATTACCAACGATCGTTTCGCAAAGAAAAAAGAGAGGAGAAAGGACCAAAAATAACGGAAAAAACGACGATCGTTGACCGCTCGCCGATGCGATATCCTGATCGATCCTACCTGGTCTCGTCCTGGTCGGTCGGCGAGTCCTCGGGGCTGATCTCGCCCTCGGAGCTGGCCGCCGTGTTGATGATGGGGATGTCGGATGGCTTCCTGACGGACAACGGGCTCTGCGCCTCTTCGTTCTTCTCGATGCTGCCCAAGGTGGCTGCCAACGTCTTGGCGACGTCCGACTCCTGCGGCGTCATTGCGACGCTCGCCCCTGTCGCAGCCGTCGCCGCACCGGCTGCCGTCGCCGACGTCGCGGCAATCGCCTTCGCCTCCTGGCTCTCGCCGAGCTCGTCCTCCGAATCAGCCAGGCCCATCTTCCGCTGCAGCGCCAGCTGCGTCTGCCGCTCAATCTCCCTGATGTCCTCCATCGTCAGACCATTCCACTCGTCCTGCCAAGCCCAGGCCTGTATGTGCGCCCGCAACATCGTCTTCCGCAGAGCTGGAACCGACCTTAATACGTCTCACGCACGGCCGACCGGATGCGCCGGTTAAAATTAACCCTTTCGATCATGTTGACAAAAGGGGAGAAGAGAAAAAAGCAAAGTTTTTTCCAACGGCGTCGGGGGGTACAGTCGGGAGTAACGTGGCGGCGCGGTCTCGAGAATTATGCTAATCGTCGGATCTCCGGAGAGACGTCGAGAGCGAACTCGCGACACGACAGAGCTGCGGCTTGTTGCGTTTACGGTGAATTCGAAATCGTATGCGTAACTTCACTCGGAGGACTCGTGAGGATTTTTTTTTTTCATTCAACTTTGGTCGGTCGATTGTTCGATCGAAGGTGTGTGCTCGAATAACTCTGTTTTCTACTGGTGTGAAGGGGAGGGGGGGGAAATTCATGATCGAAAGAGTTAACCCTTTAGCTGCCGGGCTATCTGCGTGAAAATTTACATTGAATTAAATCCGACAAAGTCGCGATTAATCATCGAAGCGTTGCTGTGTCGTATTTGAAAAGGGTAACGAAATGAATAAATGCATGAGTTACGATATATGGAATGTGTTAGAAATCGTGCGATAATTCTCGAGCGAATTGCAACTTGACGTTATCTCTCCTCTTTCACGACTCTGTTGAATGTGCCAGAAAATTAGCATTTTGCATCTACGATGTTTAATCGCCCGTGACAACTTATAAATCCTCTAACATCGAGAAGGAACAAGATTCTCGTTGGCTTGTTCATCAATAATAATAATCGTTATTACTATTACAATCAGACATTACTCCTACCGTGCGTGCAAAACGCGAGGCACTCCTGAAACACTCCGTATACCGTATACGAAAAACAAGTAAACTGCAAAATTCTGAATTTACAAGGAGAAACAGAGAGAGAGAGAGAGAGAGAGAAAGAGCGAAAGGCGAATGTCTAAAATTACAACGCTACAATTCTCTCAATTTTTTCATCGTAAAGCATGCGATATCCTGAAAGAGTATACAATACTCTGTAGGAGAATTGATCTTCGCTTTCTGCGGGACAAATCTCTCCCAGAAACTAAGCGACTCGACGAGAAAGATAACTCAAATCGTGACCTATCCTATCGTTGTATATTCGAAGCTGAGGACAAAATCTGAAGCAACCGCCCGGCATCCAAAGGGTGAGAAAGGGCAGAAGAGGTGAGCAATTACGGTACTAACCTACGTCGTGTATGAACTTTTCTAATTTCGCTTGCATGCCCCAATAACGGAACTCTACTCGGCATAGCTTGTACGCGCACATTAGTGACTTTCCCGAAGGCGATGGCTGTTGTTGTCCCTAAACGGCGAGAGAATCGCTAATGTATCAACGGTGGGACTACTTAAGCAGAGAGAAAGAGAGAGGTGTCAACTCTTTGAAAAAGAGATAGAGAGAGAGAGAGAGAGAGAGAGAGAGAGAGAGAGAAAGAGAGAGAAAGAGAGAGAAAGAGAGAGAGAAAGAGAAGGAACGAAAAGAGAGATGTATACTTCCACATCGGCCCAATAATCCTCCAGCCAGGTGTCCTCCAGCGGGCCCCTCCCGGTCTTCTCCGACACGTACATCTTGGGGTCCTCCTCCTTCACGTAGTCGGAGCCGTAAAGCTGGTCCTTGACGATGTCGATGACATCTTGAAAACAGATCGGGGTCAGTCGAGCCAGACCAGTTCGCGTGATATTTTTGTAACCGACGACAATAACGATCGCGTGAGAGGAGAATAGACGGAGAAACGACGTGATATCGCCTTCGTTCAACAATCGAAAGATCAAAACAGAGTCTAGTTGTACATTCAAGTTCGCTTGTGTCCTAATTAAAATGACCTGCGTTGAGTAAACGATTACTCGCGAAAAGTTCACGCGTCTTTTCTCCGCCTTCTACCAATTGAGCCGATTACGACGACGGCAAGTACGGCATTTCCTCTTTACCCACGACCCTATTCCTGTAATCACTGCCGCTGAGCTGGAAGACGTTATCCTGGTGGCCGTTGTCCGGGAAGTAGTACGTCTCGACCTCGACGGAGAGCTTCTCCACGAACGGGCACGTGTAACGGGTCTTGGTGTAGGGGTAAGCGTTCCATGCCTCCTCCTTGGCGATCAACGCCGACTTGGGCAGCAGGCTCTTGAACCAGCCCGGCAGGTGACTACCCACGTGATAGATCTTCAGCGTGTACTGGCCGTCACCACCTGGACCATCGCTGTACGGCTTGTTCTCGATTATCTCCACGCCGCTACCGGCGCCTGTGCTCTCCTCCCGAGACTTTTTCTGCGCGAGTTACACAGCCCGTATCACATCACGCTTTATCGATCATCGAACGCGCGAGTGCGCGTCCTTCCCCGCCCGCGTATATAATTAGTAATAAGCGTTTCGTAAGAAAAGGGAAGAAAAAGAAAGAGAAAGAACTCGGGAAGAGACACCGTGACAAACGGACGAAAATAAGTCGAGGGTGGATCTTCAGAAACGACGAAGAATTCGCGACCTCCTTCGGAACAAGAGAAGCGACTACTCAGGATTTCGAGGTAACGTCGAGAGATGCGGAACGACTCTTTTGAGTTTTCAGTCGCGAGTATTATTACGCTACGAGGCTGCGTGAGACTCCGCGAAATTGACGGCTGCGTAAAGTCAAACTGAAGCTACTGCGCGCGCGGTATTCGTAGCTTGATCTTCAAGATCTTCAAGATCACTTCAAGTTTATCTCAAGACAGCCGCGACAGCCATTTTGCTCGCAGAACCTGTCGTCTTGTTTACGTTTGCATATAATTTCATTCACCTTGACGGAACATCGTAGTTGACGAACTTGACGCATTGCGAATTAGACGTGTGTCGCGGTGATATTTCAATTCGACATTAAGGTGTACGGCTGAATAATGTTTCTTTCTCTTTTCATGATATTCATTAAAATATTACGAAAGAAAATTTATTAACAGAGGCGCCGCGTTTCAGCCTCCGAGGCAAGTGTGGACGTTCCCAATCTTCAACGTCTGCAAAATGGAAGATGTCGATCTCCCCGTATTCGGCTCGCAATGTGTTAAGACGCTCTTAAATAAAAAAGATCGAGCCGTGAATAGCGCCGTAAATCTAGCAGGACGCGCGAAACGTTTACGAGCAAGTCTGATAGCAAACCGATCACGCCGCAATGCAACGACACGAATGTCGACGCGCCAGATTAATCGCGCGACAATTACCGCTATCATGTACAGCTGAGCGATTCGATACTCCTCTACCGTGAGAGGCATCGGTATACGATACTCCTTGATCAACATTTTGTCGCTGCCTGTTCCATATCACACGTGCATCTTCGCAAAGTGCATCTTCCCTTCAAGGACACCGTGCGCCATCCTGTGCGACGTCCTCGCGGCGGCATCTCGAGGGATCCTTCCCGACGGGGATCACGAGCGACGTTCCCATTTTGCGTCGTCGGCTGTAAATCTCTGCAAGAAGGTAGAGAAAGAGGTTGCGCTGTCGAACGATCTAAATTCGAAGTGGCGAGCCGCTTTACCAGGATTCGCGCGAACGGCTCTCCGGCCCGCAGAACGCTGCTAAAATTCCGCGGCTAAAATTGATCGTGATTTCAATCGAATCTCTTTGAACGTTATCCCGACGCTAACAACGTCGTTCGAAGAGAAGAAGCAGACGAACGTCGCGAACACGGGTAAGAAAAACAGACCGACGGAAAGTAGTTCGTTTCTTGCCGGTTTCTGGAGGAATCGATCGAAATAAATATTATCGCCGATAAGAGCGATCGGGTTTGTCTCCCGTGTTTAATCGGTTAACGAAAAATTCCGTGCATTTTCCCAAACTTCTCTCTTGCTAGACTCGCGGCGATATTTCATCAGTCTCTTAATTGTCAAAGAATCTAATTAGTCGCTGCGGATCGAATCAGCTGAATAGTTTCGTGTTGAAAAATTACAAGTTTCGCGCGAACGACGAACGTGCCACACGGAAAGCTCCGATTGTTATGCCATTGCCCCGACCGTCTCTTTGACGAATTAGCCTCTCTGACGAGGCACCACCCGCTGGCAATTTGACGGTCCCCCGTCAAATTGCCTGCCGTGATTGCGAAATGTCCGTTGTGGCAGACACAAACCGCGTCGATTTTATTTGGCGGACGGCTGCACGCGAGCCGCCGCTTCGTAAATATCGCAGCACTCGCTGTGCCGGAAATATTCGCGATATCGATGCTTAGTCATACTTAAAAGTAGATATCAACTTGCAGCGCGGGAAATAGCTCCGTGTTTGGACAATCCGACATTCAAGCGAACTCCTTCGCAAGGCGCCCGTGCGACTTTAGCGTAAGTACTTTTCTAATAGACTGGAGTCCATTAGCAGTCGTGACACGCACAAAATGTCAGCGACAGGCTAATCAAAAGTCGAGAATTTCAATATTATAATCTTAAGCCTGCATCAATAGCCGCTGACAATCTGAAAGTTGTGTGACAATCTAAAGTGAGGTACTCTGAGAATTCTCTTTAGCATTGGACGCGAGTCCAATCCGGCGGAGTCGCCGATTAGAAATACAGCGCCATCAAACTCAAAATTCAGATCCGAAGATATCGGATGAAACGAGTTCCAAGTAACGACTACTGCTACCCTCTGGAGATTCCTTCGAGTGGAATTCCCCTGAAGAAGTAGAATGACGAGCGAGTCATTCGACGAGTCGGGGAAGCTCTCGCTCGCGCAAAACGAATTCTTCCACTCTGAATCGTCTGAATATCTTCATCGAAAACCGAGTGAATAAATTCCATGTAATCTACCGTCGCCGGGACTAATTTGTTCCAATTGGCTGAAACATTCACCAGGTAGGCATCAAGGAACTCACGCAGGAGCGAGGCTCGAATCGAGCATCGCTCCTGCGACTCCGATATTCTCGCTCGCACTCGCGGCGAATTCTCGCCGCTTTTCAATGAGACCCTCCGCCCCGAGAAATTTCCAGAATACCGAGATCGGCTCCGCTCGCTGCTCGAAATCTCGCCGCTTACTTCTCGCTCGTTTTAATCGCCTGCACGATCTCTCTCGCGCGCGAGAGATTTCTCACGTGCGAAAGAATCCGTCGATACCGTCGACCTCGTCGGCGATCAATGATTCACCGCGCGCCGCGGGCTCGAAGCGGTAAACACGCGCGCGAGAAGCAATAAACAAAACGTTACGCAAAAGGTTTATTTATACGCCCCGCCGCGGCCGCGCGCACACGACGTAACAGCTACACGGCGTATTTCGCTTTCGCATCGTGCGCGAAATTAGCGTGCGGCGTGCAATTACGCGGCTCAGGTCCGCCCGCCGCACTGCTACAAACGCCCCGTACGAGCGCGCGCACAATACATGCAAACAATCGCGATCGCGAACGCGCAATTGTAGTCGCGCAATTGTAGCGCGCGCTGGAGATCGCGCGTAGGCGCGTTTATCATTTCGCTCCTCGCGTCGGAAGCGGCAGATAAGCGCGCGATGTTATCAGAACGCGCCGTTCGCCGATAGCATCAACATCGCACGTGCTGCAATTTCCGACCGTGATGTGTTTGCAATTTTTCCGCTTCTCTCTCTCTCTCTCTCTCTCACGCGCGCGCGCGCGCGCGCGTCAGTCCGCTATTAAGTCGCTCGCGACTACGCTGTGAAGCTCTACGTGCAAACGACTCCACTCCAGTGCGCGGCTCGTCAACAAGCAGCACTTTCGCGATCGCGCTCGTCGAACATACGGTGTGATTAACCCTTTAATCAATAGTCCGTCAAGTGGTTCCCTCCTTCTTGGCTTTTAGCGCGAGGATGACAAAAAGGCGCGCCCCGGCTCGTCGATTCGGCCTCCTCCGCACGGCGAGGCGGGCGAGCGAGCTCCGTTAATATATTCACGCGAGTCCACTGCTTTTGACAGGGACGCTAAAAAAGTTATCGCGCACGGCACTTGTTACGGAATAAATCCGCCCGATCGGGCGGACGATCTTGAATAATTGCAGGTGTGGAGAGCGAGGCGGATCACACGGATAATCCCTTAAATTAACGGAATCGTGAAGCGGGACTATTTTCCGCGCGAGGCGGAATTTTCGACAACGCCGTCCGTGCGTTGTCTTATCGCGACTTACCGCCTGCGACTTCCGTCGTGATCGATTGAAGAAAGGCGGTGGAATCACGGAACGCGAACGACAAATTGTAACCGACACCTGCGAGAAGCGAAGCGAACGGTGACAGGTCGAGCAGCGAACGAAGCAACGGACGTTGCACTCGTTCGAAACAACAATACGCAACAACAACAACAACATTCGAGAGACCGCCCTCTCGCAGCTGTCTCTATTATTATCCCCTAACATCGCAAGCCACTGTAATCTTCGGTGAAACGGAGAGAAACGCAGGCTCCGGCGAGAAAAGCAAAAATCCAATTTACCGATAAAAGGGTGAAACAATGACGTCAGATGATGCGAAGAATGATGTCACAGCGAAGACGGCGGAGATGCAATCGAAGGGTATTAGGGGTGGCTCGGGGGTGCGACGACACCGAGGAACAACGAGAGACACACACAATGCGAACACGGCGACGCGCCGCCACCGACTGACACACGGCAGCGGATCGCAGCCGCGACTCGTCGAGAACCCGCGAAATCGCCGCCGGCCAATCGGAGCTGGTGGCCGCGACCCGACGACGACGACGGCGGCGGCGGCGGCGGCGGCGGCGGCGGCAGGGCCGTAAATTCAACGGCGCCAGCGAGCGAAGGTGTTTGCGATTTCGCGGCGAGCACCAAGTCTCGCCGATCGGCGAGTCACGGCAACCGGCGAGAAACTGTCGCGCGCGTGTCGAGAGCTCTCGCTAAATTGTATATCGATGACCTCTGTCAACGTTCTCCCCTCTTTTTCTGTTTTTAATTATCCGGGACTTCGAAAGAGGGAAAGGTAGAAAAAAAGTGTTTTGTACACAGAGACGCGCACGTGTTCGCGACGGAGAATGGCAGAGTGCGATTGTCCGGGCGCGAAATGCGATTTGTCCTCCCCGTGGAAGCTTCGCGTGTCACGAGGTCCACGTGTTCGCGATGTTGTCCCCGGCTGTGCGAGCCGCGGGACCGGTATCGTCGGGCAGCCGATCGAGCGACCGCTCGTTCGCTTTCGAACGATCCCGTGGATCCCGACGAGAGAGTCGAGAGGTCAGCGAATCTCGTGGGTGGATCCTCGAGGTTCCGCAGGAGCGGGGCGAAATCGCGGAGGGGTGGCCCGCGCGATCGTGCCGCGCTCGTTTCTCGCATGGACGCGCCGGCGCCGGCGCCGGCGACGGCGGGGATCGGCCGGCGGATAACAGAGACGAGATACCGGAGATTGTTGTTGGTAGATGATAGAAATGTTACGTTGGGGTGGTTAACTCGCCACTACCCCCGGATAACCACCGCCAGCGAGCAGCCGGCTCTCTTCCGTCGTCGCTACCGCCACCGCCACCGCCACCGCCATCGCCACCGCCACCACCGCCTCCCGGTCTATTGATCGTCCCTGAACGGTCAGGAAGGCGCGAGACCAGCTGCGCCACATTCGCGAGCCCCCGCGAGGGCGAGACCAAAAAGCGGCGCCGCGACGGCGTGCGTCTTCGCCGCGCGTAGCCACCTTTAACCCTTTCCTGGGGGGCTTCCGCCGCACATGTTGCTACTCGAATTCGGGTGTCTTGGAGCTGGAGCAGCTCCAAGACACCCCGAAAGTTTTCACCCTGGGACGCACTCGATCACGCCGTGAACTACGCCGGTCGTGCTAAATCGTCTACGTGGTTGACGATTTTCCACGGCTCACGTGCAGAATAGAGCGATCGTTCGAAAATCAAGCAAGAGAAACGTCATGAAAACAAATATAAATTCAACGAATAAAATAAACGAAATATTGTTCATTCATTTTTTTCGTATAGATGAACATTTAATCCGTTAAAACAGCATATTCGCGACCTCAGTTTAAGTTACGAAAGATTCTCTCGAGCGATTTTTATTTGACGAGAGCGTCAATAATTTCCGAGGTGCGAGTATTCGAAAATACGATATTTTTCGCAAAGTAAATATTGAGTGGCCAAACGAACGGTGAAATTATTTTCTCCGATCAATTTCAAGCGAACTTTATCTCAACGGAATTATTTCGGACTTGGCTGCAAAGGCATGTTACATTCAAAATGGAAAAATCGTAAATAATTTTTGGATACTCTTACACACTAAAGAAAAATTATCTTCAAACTGCTTGAAAAAATTTTCGATAAATTAAGGTCTCAAGTTCCGAGACACATCTGGTACACCCACATCACAATGAGATATTTGCTTTCCTTTGAAAGCGGTAGAAAAATAATCTGGCGGGCCGCAAAAAATAATGCAGCGACTTGGCCGGGCCTGGATTAAACATGTGTCTCTTCTCTTTGCTTTTCTCGTTTTAACACGATCACCGCCATGGAGGTCACTGAAGATCGACATCTGATTCTGCAGCTCTCATTTAGATAAATACACGTGCATGATATAACGAGGTGATGTAACTTAATCATATTACATAACGTTTTATCATTATGCTTTGATAGTAAAAATTTCGTCGTGATGTAGACGGTACGACATGCGAAAACCGTTGGACAGTCAGCGTGTTAATAATAGTTAAACCATTGTCTCTCGAGGATAATCAACGTGAAAGGAAAGCCAGGCGGATCGTATTTCTCGGATAATGACACGTATTCATGTATGCAAACGTTAATGAATAGAAATGATATATTAAATGGATAAGTCCTTGTGAGTGTATGTGTGTGTGTATTATAAAGAAGGGGTTTGCTGAAACCGTTTCTAAAAATAGCAGATCTCGTTATCAGATTCGTCGTCCATCAATTCTTTCGTTCGTATTCAAGTGCATTGAAAAAAAAATCGAGGAACAAAAAGTCAAGTAATAAAAAGAAACAAATCTCAAGGTTATATATATATCTTGCCGCGCTGATTGCAGTCGAATGAAAATCCAATCAAATCAACAATGTAATGTAACAATTGAAAATACAAAATTTAATCGAAAGGTAAAAGGTTAATGGAACTGCGAGACGCAATTTGTTGTATACACGACATAAATGTTCTTTCAACTATCGGCAGCTCGATCCGACCGTATGATACGAGTAATTGCACCTTTGATGGGAAGTTCAATAAATGATAACGATAACAATACGGCTAATAATACACTGCGTCAACTTGACAATCGCGTCATTGAACTGAATTTTAAGTTTGTCTTGCACAAACCCGAGATTAAAGCGGCATGAAAATTTCGCTAAGAAAACCATAGCGTGGTTAGTTCGCCGTTTGTACGAGCCGGAGATTGAGTTCATTTAATTCGATTCCAGTTTGTTCTGATTCCAGTTTGGTCTGTTTTTTTTCGACGGTGTAGCCGTCGTAAGAAGTAATCGTCCACGCGATATTCATGAAAAGAAAAAGACGCCGTGTAAATAAGCACGCTTTTAATAACGATCTCGTGCATCATCTCGTACATCGAAATTTTTACGACGTCCCACCATCTTCCCCTTCTTCCGTGTTTCATTCCCGTTATAATTTCTGGCGAATAAATATCAAATACAAATTACACGCGGCGGACATATAGGACTTGCGCGTTACGAGCACTTTACGAGCGACCGAGGCTTTCCGCTCCTATTCGGATTTAATATTTCACGTTCGATCTCTCTCCCCCTCTCTTCAGGATGACGAGGACCATTAAAAATTAAAGCGATCGCCGCGTGTCGAGTAGGCGAGCCGTCATTTTCGCGTCTCGTCCCGTCGTAATTCCCAGCTGCCACCGGCAGAATCAAGCTATTCCCGCACTTTGCCTAATTATCCGTCTTCTTGCGATATTTCTCGTTCGGATCCTCGACTTCGTAGCCATGTGGCGGGATGGGGTTTTTCACGGGATTGTGGAATAACGTGTGATTACCGTCGCCCCAAGGATACGGCTGTTTAAAGAAAACAGGGACGATGGGTTCGGATTTTGCTTCGAGCTGCTCGCGAGTTCCCGCATTCCCGACGGCATAAGATCATTGTTTCTTTTCTTTCTTTTTCTTTTTCGTAGATCACCCGAGTCTCTTGGAACTTTGCTTTCGCATTAATTCTACAAACCCCGTCGGGGACTTGACGAACTAATGGAAAATCACCAGACACAACATTGTATAGTTTTCCTTCGACGTTACAAACGATTACTCACCGTTGTTTTCCTCCAAGACTCGCAGAAACACTTCTTTCAGAATTATTTAATATTTCACTTTCTCGCTACTTTCGACGAGACAGCAGTGAAAAGAAAGCCTCAGCAAATTCAAGATAGGATGCCTCGCATTTTCCAAAGAGCATTGCAAAACTTGGAAATCAGGGATTTAATTGCGAGATTTGCAGTGAATTGTAAGGTAAATAAGACCGGTTATTCATAGTTGTGAATTATTTACGATCTTTGATTGAAAGCATAATAAATTCATATTCATGGGCCGTTAGAATCGATATTTCTTGTTGTATGAAATAAGCGCAGCTGCAGGTTGACGCGTAATCAACGATTCACCAAGCTATAATTGTTTATCAGCTGATAATACGTATTATGAACGCCGACCTAAACCAGATCGAGTTATCTCTTTATCCCCTTAAGTTCGTTAAACGACTGCGTAACGCGTCGCGTCCATGTCAATACGGGTTTATAATTTATCATGCTTTCAATTAAAGATTATAAATAATTCACAACTCAAAACCGGGGAAATTAAGTCATTAAAATCGGAAATCCCTGCATAATGAACCATTTCGTATACCTGGAAATACATCATGCATTGTTGCTTGCGTCCCGGATGTATCCTGTCCTTCGTCCTAGCTCTCCACGCGATACAGCATCCTAGCTACTTGGTTATAACGCTCGCAACACTTTCTCGTGGCACTGAAACTCATGTAGACACGACCCGATCGGAGAAACGCGTGTTAATTAATGCGCGTTGTCAACGAGAGAAGCTCGATGAAATATTTCAAGAGCCGATGAAATATTTCAGTCGAGTGCAAACAAATGTGTCTCGAGCCGACGAGTTCCATCCCGTGTGAGACGAAAGTACGTAAATATAAAAATAATTAAATATTAAATATTAACGTACGTTACGTACAATTCACGTGGGTAGATTTCACCGAGTCTTGCGATATCATTTTAATCTCTCAGACTCTCGTCGACGTCACGTTAATTAACACTCGTTAATCCGAACAAATCGTCATACCTACGCGAGTGTCAGTATCACGCACGAGAGCATCCTGGAATGCCACGATGAAGTAGCTGAGAGCAGCATACAGAATTAGAAGCCATTGATTGAGAATGCAGGACGTCAGGATGAGAGCAGCAGTGCATGATATATTTCCATATTTATAAAAATTCTATTTATAAAAACTTCTGTATTTATAAAAATATTTATATATTTTTATATAATATATATAATATATATTTATATTTTATAAATTATTGTGCAGGATTTCTTCGACTTTAACGGACGTCTGATAAATTCACTGAGAATAAGAGGATACTCGAAATTCGGGCTTGTCATTGTTTCACAAATAATTGTTAAATAAACGTTAAATAACGTTATAATAACCATTATTATAGTTTTGTAAATCTCCAATTATTCGCCGACTTGTGCCT